TGATTAAATTAATCGTTATTTTTAATTTATTTTTAAATATTAATTATATAAAAAGTTTTTAATCAACACTAGTCCAACACTTATTTCTGTAAGATCACTTTTTCTTATCTTGATCATTATAAATGCATATGCGATATTAAAAGTGTATTTAATCAAAATACATTATTCGGAAAGAAAAATATTTGAATAAAAATTAAGACTGTAAAGTATTTTGAATCGAATATAAGTTTTTCGTATTAATATTATTGTTATATGAAAATCAATGGTTGGTTTTATAATTATTATGGAAAAGAAAATTAAAACGAAAAATTTGTCTTAACATTATTAAAGTTTGATATCATCTCGTTTATATCTCTTCTATCGATTTAGAATGATTTTATAATTGGCTATAATTAGTGCGATAAGGGTCTACAATAATCAATCGAAATTTTCGGAAAGTTCATGGAAGGAGGGTAAAATAATAGATATTATTAAGCGGTATTAGCATGGAATAAGAGTGTTTTTAATGTTTTCAACAACAACAGGTACAGTAACCAGTTTACCTGCAGTAAATACGTTGATAATTATTCCTTCGGTATTTCTTTTTTATTCGTATTTATTTTTCTTTCACTCGATTCTTTCTCTCCCTCGCATTCAATAAATTCACACACACCAACACACAAACACACATACACGCACAGTTTTCTTTTTTTCGCTACTTCGCTGCTGCTATATTTCGCGTTCAACTACTACTTAATTAAACCTCACTTATTACTGTCTTTTCGTTCTTACCCATTAAATTGAGTAAGGAATTACACAAGTTTACTACACATTGTGTTCACTATTCGGCTGTCTAGCTAGCTCAGACTATACTAATTGCGTTGTGGAGTTGGGTTAACCTATTGGCTACGATTTCGTGATCTTTCCAATAAACGTAATATCTAATCTATTATACGCGATCGTTTCTATAAAGATCTTTTTATTCGCGTAATCTGTATCTCGGTTTTCTATAAAAACACGATGTTTCATGAAAATTGACAATCACATTATTGACAATTACGAAGGGCGCCGCGTACGGACAAATGGGGAAGCACGTATCAACGAACGAAAAAAGCTTCGAAGGTAACAAATATGAAGATTTTTATTGGAAAGTCAGTGGATCGTCGCCCGCGGGAATGCTTGAGGTGAAAAGGTGCGCCGTGTCGAAGCTTTTTTGAAACATGAAATTTACAGAAGAAACATCAATTCCAATTGTATATGATAGCGATCTTTTTTGTCAAAATGTTAACTTTGAGTCTTACGAATCAATTGAAAGGAAGAAAAGTGTTCGGTGTACAACTCACGCAGTAACAAAATTACACTGATAATGTAAAAAGAAAAAAAAAAAAAAAAAAA